GGCTATTTAAACAGAAATCAGACATGGACTGGAAATGAAAGACAACTTTACTGTCTTCAGCAGGAAGAGTGCTCAAGTGATGGACTTTTCTCTTCCACAAACCCCAGGCATAGATGTCTAACGTTTACCAGAAATATTCTCGTTTATACAGTCCTGGGAGCTTTTCAGTCTTCCATTTTCTTTGAGAGTGTCTCAATATTCTCTGTCACTCAAAAGATATTAAATCTCCAAGAAGTCAGAAGTAAAAGACTAGATCCTTACCTACCTTTCCATAAAAATGAAACTTTCTTTTAACAGAGCCTTTTCAGGAGATCCCAATCCTATCTGTGAGGGCACACACACATTCCCTATTGCCTGAAAACATCTCAAAATTTGGTAAAGAAACCTTGTTTTTGCAATAAAGCAGCTTGTGTATGAAGTCTAGTCAAGAAGCCAAACTTTTTTTTTTTTTAGTCTCCCCCAGTTTGTTTAAAAAGTTCCTCTATGCCACAGATTCTACCAACCTAAGTCAAGCTTGTTTTTCCTTCTGAAGAAGTGCTAAGAGCTTGCTTCTGGGATTAGAAGTGGAAGGCACTGCTCCTCTGTGGATACTCTGGGGAACAGATAATCCTCTGGCACCAGGAACTGGCTGTGTTGGCCCATTTCCCCAGTTCTACAGTTTATTTGTTTTCAGGCATCTGAGTCCTTGATTCAGTAAACCTCAGAAAACTATTAATTGTCCCCAGAACAACTCCAAAGGCCAATGCATTTCCATCATGCCACTAAAAATTATTCCCATGCTGGGAATAAGTATGTTTGAGAAACCAATACCAGCAAAGAGCTGTTTTCAATAAACAGCTGTGATGACTGACAGCTTACAGGCCAGGGCAGCAGCCCCTTCAGCCTTTCACAGCAAGGGTGCACCACCTTGCTCGCAGGCATTAAAACTGGACAAATTTCCAATCTTGATATAAATGCTTGCAAATAAACATTCATGTGATCTGAAAGGAAAAGCAGTAAAAACTGTTAAGCAGAGAAGAAAAAAATTGACAAGGAAGATGATAGCAGAAAAAGGTGAAACAGCCAGAGTCTTTGTGTATTGGTTATGCAAAGAAGTGATACATTAAATAAAAAAGAAATCACAAATAATTGTAGGAAGTATCAGTGTTTTGTTTCTCATCAGGCCCTCTCATTTGTTCTACCTGTACCTACATAACTTCAGAGATTTAAAATAAGTATTTGCAGTAGACAATTTTGTCTTTACTAGGGATTTACTCATTACTGTAAAGCTATAGCAGAGTGAATGTTAGAACATTTATGAGCATCTCCAAAGCCAGAGGTGAAGAGTTTCACAGTTCCTGGGAGGGGAAAGCAGTATTTCACAGAGCTTCAACAAAGTATGGACTCCTGTGATCTGCCAGGAGAGCGCTGATGAGAGCCTTTGCCATCTCAGCAAGCACCAGGAATGCTAGATTCTGAGCATTTGCCGGATGCCTATTAAGGGTTTTGCAATGACAGGCTACCAAATAAATAGCCACAGGGCACTGAGCTTTTCTTCTTGTCTCAGCTTCACATACACCTGCCAGAACAGCTTCCCAGACAAGGCAGTCATTTAAACCCACCTCTGATTTAATCTGGCCCTCCAGCTACAAGAGATAGCTGGTTCTAATCAAGTAATACTAATATACTTGAATTTGGTAACATCAACCAACATTGTAAGCATAGGGTACATATTAACTGCAATCATGTTTAGACTCAATTCTCCCAACCATTTCAAACATACATTATTACCAAAGTCAAAAAGGATTTGCCTCATGCTCTTGACTTTAGATCTCATCCTTTTAGCTATCATGTAGCAGAATATTTTCACATACAAAATATAATGGAGGGAAACTAGGGGGATGGATTTCAGACCAAATGATACTCAATTTATCTATCAGTATTGGGGAAAGGAAAAAAAAAATAGCACTAGGACCCATTCAATAATCACAACTAGTTTCTCTCTAGCTATGCCCAAAACTATGCCTCTTTCCAAAAACGGAACAGGATCCTGAATTCAAGTTGTAAGTACACTAGTACATAACAGTGGAAGAGTTTCCTACAGACTGTCAACTTCTACAGCTGACCTAATCTGGCAATGACTAGCATCAGTAGCTATTGATGCTTAAGCGACTATACTCAGTTCTCCAAGCAACAGGGAAAGATTCATCTTTCAAATACTCATAAAGTAGTCAAATTCCATTAAAGTTAAGGTCTCTGCCAAGAGAGATCTGTCTGCCCAAATCTCTCTTAACGCTTCCTCAAAAGTAATGACAGATGGGAAGATTTGTGCTCTTTTCCATTCCTGCATAATATGTCTGTTGTCACCCCCTCAGAATAAAGTGAGAGAATAAAAAAGTATTATCTGTGTTTTAAAACAGGTAAAATCAAAATACACAAGAAAAAGATGGCTTGCATAAGGGTACACAAATCAGAGGCTGAACCCAAAATAAAACCCTGGCTGTCTCATTTCCAATTAAATACTCCAGTTTAGACAGGGGATTCGGAGGCCCTTCTGCACTGTTTTGTAACATCTGTGTGCAACAGAGTTTGGCTGAATCTCTGATCCTTCCAGAATTTGTATCAAGAGGAAATGTATGGACCTACAAGTGGCTCCCCTCTTCCACATCAGCCCCTCATCTGTGTGTGAAATTCAGACTGCACAAGACAGATGAGTTACGGTGAGTGAGAGCAGAATGGATCAGAGTCCTGTGTAACACAATGGGGGTGTCAGTAGAGTGGCTTTTTGGGGCAGAGAAGCCAGAGTGTGGACTGTCCTATTCTTTATTCCAACTTCAACAAAAACATGTTTCTCATCAGAGGAAGCCTGAGAAGAATTTGCCCCTGGGAATGACAGAAGCTCCAGCTGGAAGAGGGCTCAGACGGGATTAGAGGCAGAACAAAAAGGTCAGGCTTTCATCTATGTGCAGTGGCACTTTCTGGTCTGAAGTATAAAAAGCAATTTTGCTATGGAAGGTTTCTGGAATGTCCATGACAAAAACGTGACTGAAGCCTACGGTCTGCTGTGGAGGTATCCTCAGTATTTTAATCAAATTGTACTTGCATATCTCTGGCAACCTGTCAGGTCACCAATACCACACAGTAGCCTCACCAGCTGATGCTATGGACTATAGAGGTTTCTGCCTGAAATCCAGCACACAGGCAGTCACCCACAATGAAGCTCAAGACACTCACACGCTGCCTGTTTGGAGATCTAATTCTGACCTCCTCCAAAAGATTCCCTCTTCCTCCTCTAAGAAAATTCAGGTTTATGTATTCATATTCTGCCCCTTGAGTGCTTTGATGCTTTCACCTTCCTGAATCTTTGCACCCTGTGGGGTCTCTCATTGCTGTTCTGCAGAAAAACTATTAGCCGGCTGTGGTGCAAACCGGAGTCAGAAACAAAGCATTTAGCAGCAAGTGTAACAAAGCTAAGGAGGAAGAGAAACCACACCAACAAGAAATTGTGCTTCCTATTTTTCTAAAAGTCTAATGTCAGATCAGTAAGGCTTTTCTTATCTTCTCTAATTAGGCAGAAATCCAGCAGTCACTTTGGATCAGCAAAAGAAGTTCTATATAAGATAGTATGTGTCTGTCGGGTTTGTCCTAATTTTCTTTGTGAAAAGAAAAAAAAAAAAAAAAAAAAAAAAAAAGCAAGATTAGCTTTCTTTTGTTTTCTTGGACACCAAGAAGCTTTCATGGCATTTACCCCAGAAGCAGATACATAAATCATTAACTCCTCCATCTGCAACTTATCTCTGCCAGTTACCACAATCAGCCACTTAGCAGGAAGATGCAAGAACCTACACGTCAGGCAATTACAGAGCAGCTGGCCTGTGGAGAAACAACTTATCCATAAGGATCTAGAACAACAGCGGCAGACCTTTTGCAAAAGGCTGCACCGCTGCTGAAACTGTTCTACTTTGGGATCAAACACCTATTATCAACTTTTGAACTGCTAAAAGATATCAAAGAGGAAACTGGAAGTTGTTGTCTCAGTGAGCTGCTCCTTAACCTCTGAGTGTCTAAAGATCTAAGATTTATTCTTAAATCTACACTTTATCTAACTGTGAACGTTTTAATTACCCACAGATTTTCCTCTTTTAAAACCCTGTTAATAAACTGGCCTCCATAATACTGGAGTTAGACAGATCACATTCCCTGTACAACCCATCTCTTGTCAATCTTAACTAGACTGTCTTTCAGCATTACTTTATGTCCTTTTCCTTGTCCGCTATGAGTACAGAGGCATAGCTTTTGACTTACATATTTTGCAGACTTCTTTCCATCCCACCCTGAGATATTCCATCTCTAAAAAGAACAGCACTGAATCCTACAAAACAAAGCGCAGAGACACCAGTGTCCTGAGAGAGGAGGATTAGATGCTGAACTGATGAATTTGCTAAAATATTACCTAAATTAAGAAATACAACAGAATTACCCCCTACAGCTTCTGGGAAATATATTAGTAGGACTTGTTGCATCTAGGGCTACCTACTATGGAGTTACCTTCCTTGAACTTTTATAAACTCATCCTGTTTGGACAGCCCTTTCACATTCTGGACCTCTTAACGCTCTTGTATTATTGGAGTGCCAGAACTAGTCACCAAGAGGGCTACAATCCAATAGGCAATAATTGCTGGAAACTCTCCTCATTTCCGAGCTCTCTCCCACACCCCTTCAAAACAGAACTGAGTGAAGTCTCTCCCACTCTTCCCAACCTTTCCTGGCTGAAACCTGTTCCAACTTTACCCTGTAGACACCTGATAAAAACAGATGAACTGGGAGGGGCCAGAAAGCTCTTCATAGCTTCAGGGGGGTGGAGGTAAACAGAAGAATAGTATATAAGATGCTTTGAGACAGACTTTCAAAGTGCATAGACTCTGACAGGAGGGGTCTGAAAAAAAAAAAAAAAAAAAGCTACTTCTTCAGGCTCCACCTTCGGAGACTCAATTCATTGGAAGAAAGCTAGGTACCAGTCTGCTGTAGCACTTGCAGAAAATTTCATACCTACCCCAGCTGCATTCAGCCTACCCGCAGTCAGCTGGAAATTTTCTGTTGCTGTAAGCAAAAATGCCAACAAGATCCACTGCTCAGCTGGCATGGCTCTGCATTGTCACTGTGTCTGTGGCAATCTATCCAGCACTGCTGCAGAAGCCTCCTAAAAGGAGAACAATCAATGGGAATGCACAGTCCAAGATGACAGGCTGCTGCGATGAGATTAAGGAGCTCAAGCTGCAGGTAGCCAACCTGAGCAGAATGCTGCAGGAGCTGAGCAAGAAGCAGGAAGGTGACTGGGTGAACGTGGTCATGCAGGTGATGGAGCTGGAAGGGAGCACCAAGCAGATGGAGTCCCGCCTCATTGATGCTGAGAGCAAATACTCCGAAATGAACAACCAGATAGATATCATGCAACTCCAGGCAGCTCAGACGGTCACACAAACTTCAGCTGGTAAGGAGGGAGTCACCAAGCTCCCAGATACACCTCTTAATGCACAGAATGAACTAATGACGAGTTCTTAATGCTAGCGTGTCCCACTAACGCGATTTACAAGTATGCATACTGAATACTTCTGCTTCAAGTACTTTAAGTACTGAGTTCCAGAAAAAAATTGCTTGAATTCATCTGTCAGAAGTCCAAAGAACCAGCTGTATTCTAATATCTGTAGATCTGTTGTCAGGGAGTGGAAAAACTCAACAGGTACTGTACTTGTACAGGGAGAAAATAAGCCTAATATTTCATTTTCTGAGTACTACAGTACCAATCCAAAAAGAAAGGGAGCTGGCTTTGTCAGGGAATGGCTCTGGCAGTAATAGTCTCCGAGTTCACTGTGCTGACAGGGGACTAGAAGTTGGTAAAACAATTAGAAATGCTCTCCAAGCATTACTGGAGATTTGTAATTGTATCTTTATGACTATCTCTGAATTCGAGTAAAAGAGTGACTCATTATTTGAATGATAATTCTCAAAAATTCAAGGCTGTAGATGATGCAAGATGCAAACTGTGATATAAGCCTAGCCAAAACACAGTTAAATTGTTCAAAAGTCTCTTTTCCCTGAGGGAAAATTTCACTGCATGCAGTGATTGCACAGGCCTGTACTAAACACGGAATGCAGGTGCATTTTGTAGGTCAGCTACCTGTAAAGCCACTTCCAGAAGAAAGTGTAAATTTTGTTGACTTTTCTCTTAAAATGAAATTCACTGCAACAAGTTTAAAACTTCCTTAAAAAGAAACTGCTGTTGTCTGAGATAACTGGATTTGCCAAAAGACTTCATTTGGATATCTTTTTTTAAATTCGAAGGAAAAAACTTCAAAATCTATTTACTAAATTCTTCTTACAAAAAGTTCCACTTGGCTGGTTTTGACACATCACTGTTTACAGTAGGTCTTAAACAAAAATGATACCATAACAAATCTATTTGGAGCTATAGTAAAGGTTTGGTAAAAACACAGTAACACACAGAAGAAACTGACCCAGAAGGTATTTCAAACAGATGCATCTCACCTCACCAGGTAAGAGACAGTTAGTCTGCACTAAATTGAAAACTGTCAGAATGGATAAAGCCCTGCTTCAGCTAGTTTCTCTTCCTCAGAACAGCAGCTGTGCATTTTACCATCTTCAAGCCAGCTCCTAGACCAGGAGGAAGGGAGGCTTGCAGAGACTGACAGACTGACCACAGCTAAAAGCCACCATCTCTGTCCCAGGCTCTAGTGCAAGAAGTGCTAAGCAAATACGCCTCATCCACAAACTCAGCTACCCTGTTCAAGTTCACAATCAAAACAGGCATCTGGCAGCAGATGTAGCCATTCGATTAGATAAGCATTTATTATTTGGAGGTGACAGGACAGGACACAGCAAATATGTACCTTTTTACCACAAGCACAGTACAATGTGAAAAGCAAGCAGAGATGTCTCTTTGGATAGGAAAGGGGCAGGGCGGGGGGGAAGTTCTACTGCTACAACCCTTTTTTCCAACGCATGCACTGATCACAATTGAGCCATGTCAAGAAAACGTTAGACTTGTGGGAAGTCTTCTTCACTTAATTATTCCTTATATTACAAACTAAGCTTTACAGAAACCACAGAGGGGAGTTCTTGCTGTTCAGAATCTTACTTTCTGGTTCTGATTCAAGTAGATGCTGTCTATGACTGCTCATCCCTTTACCAGAAGAACTACCGAATCTCTGGAGTTTACAAGCTACCATCTGATGAATTTTTGGGGAGTCCAGATCTGGAGGTAAGAATGTCAAGTATACAATATATATTACATGCCCTTCAAATATAAGAGATACTTATCTATCAGAGATGAAAAGAGCACAAACTGAGCTACGATACCCTGCACTTTGAATCAGCATTTTTATGTAGGCCAACTTCAAGGCAGAAAAAAGTGTATATTTAAGAGGGGTAAAAAGAAAAAGGATTCATTTAAAAGATTTTCTCCAAAGACTTTTAATCAAAATAGGAATTTCTTCAAGTTGTGAAATCTGAAACAATGTCTTGGCTTGTGTTATGAGAACTGAACCTTCCTAAGTGTGCTGCCTTTTTTTCCTGTTCTAGGTGTTCTGTGACATGGAGACAGATGGAGGTGGCTGGACTATCATCCAAAGACGTAAAGTTGGTTTGACATCTTTCAATAGGGACTGGAAACAATACAGGGAAGGATTTGGCAATATTCGGGGAGATTTTTGGCTGGGAAATGAAAATATCTACCGACTTTCAAGACGCCCCACTGTTCTGCGAGTGGAATTGGAGGTAATTAATAAGCTCCTAATTTCAGCAGCAAAAGGTTTTTTGTACAAAGTGATCCTCTAGCTGCAGATACCATCTCCTGTTGATATATAGGAGGCCCAAAGAATTTGCATGCTTTAATTAGAGAAGAGATAGGATAGACCTAGCGATACATTCAAGGACAAGACAGAATTACGTTCTCCACCCTGCAAAGTCAGTAGGGACAGCCTTCTCTCTGCATACAGACTATGCCTTAAGGAACTCAGGGGCCTTTAGAAAGTGTCATGGAACCCACTGCAGACAGAGATCTAACTGCTGACCACCTCAGATTTCAAGATTCAGAGAGGTGGCCCAAGAAGTTTTAAAGACTCCAAGACTTTTGCAGCACTTCCTTCCAGCTTGTGTACAAGAGTTTGCATTGTATTACCCCAAAACAATTTCTACAGTCCACTAAAGGCTTTGGTTTGACTTAGACTACTTTATAGTAGGGAGGGGGATTTTATTGACTATTTTATTGAGGGATGGGATATGTATAATGGAGAAAGTGAGTTGAAAGGCTTTATATCTAAAAGTCACTGTTTCAGAAACGAAAAAAAATTCTTGAGGCAGCACAGGTGTTGAATGGAAGAGCTGCACACCAGGTTTCCATACATATTGTTTAACACCAGTGCAGTTAAGACTTGGAAACACAATTATTTGCTCTGGAAAGATTATTTGCCTTGATAGATAAGTTTCTGCAATCTGAGATGGGAAAAAAAAACCTCGTGAAAAATCTAGGACTGAGAAAAAGATATGCAACATGCACTGTATATAACCATAGATGGTGGAGTCTTTTCATAATTTTTAATTGGACTTTTTTTTCTTCATTGTTCTGTGGCAGGATTGGGAAGGCAACATACGCTATGCACAGTATAAGCAATTCACCCTGAGCAACGAAATAAATAGCTATCGTCTTTTTCTGGGAAACTACACTGGCAACACAGGGCGTGACTCCCTAAGGTACCACAACAACACAGCCTTCAGCACGAAGGACAAGGACAACGATAAGTGCGTGGATGACTGTGCCCAGTTCCGTAAAGGTAAAACAAACAAACACACAAAAAATTCCTGTCCTGAAAGAGTGGCCTGGGTAATTTGTAGAGCACCCAAGACTCACTCTGTCCAAGAATCTGAATGGTAAATCAAGGGAGAGGTGACCAATTCTGGGACATACACTTATCTGTTATGTGGGAAATCTGGCAGTTTTACACAAGCTGATTTACACAGAGCCACTGTCCATCATCTACACATACCGTTACCCAGTCCATTATCTCTATCTCCCAATCTGCCAGACTATCTTAATTCAGTGATGCAGGAAGTTATTCCTGCATATCTACAAGGCTTTTTTTTTTTTCTTATATTTTTATGAGGTTTCAATTCTTGTGTTAGCGACTTTTAATTATTCTCCTCTATTCTTATCCTATACACAACCTCAAGGTTCAACCTGAATTCTAATCTTTATTCCTATTAAAGAGTCTCTAATGAGGTTTCTCTCTTCATTTAATTTATTATCTTTATATGAGTTGTCTCACAGAGATAATTGTCTTCACTCTGTTTTGCCCTTTATCCTTAATTTCCCCATTGTGCCCTCAGGCAACACGCAAATAAAATTGTTGATAACAGTCTAAAAGTAGTACAGTTTATTTGCAGAGTCCAGAAACCTTTCAAACACCTTAAGATGCCCAAGCTAAGAACCCAAATTCATTTCCTATACTAACTCTCAGAGTCAGAAACATGTCAAGGAAATATTCTAAGAGGAATGAGCAACTAAATTAAAAGCTACTGGGCTAATTTGACTATGTAACCATAAAGCCTTTGTGCATTTAGTATGTAAAGCTTTGAATTTACCTGCAATCCCAGCTCTTAGGGCCACAGGCTCCAGGGATTAAATGATTCATTCTGATCACTCTCTTCAGGAATGAGCAATAATTATTATTACTTAAAACAGGTACGTTTTGTATTAAATGGCTCACTAGGAAACTGTTCATTTATTTTCTGAAAAGGTGGATACTGGTACAACTGCTGCACAGATTCCAATCTGAACGGGGTTTACTACCGCAAAGGAGAACACACCAAGAACATGGATGGCATCACCTGGTATGGATGGCATGGATCAACCTATTCGTTGAAGAGAGTGGAGATGAAGATACGGCCAGAGGATTTCAAACCTTAAGAGGGGACCAATATTTGATTGTACAGCTAGACGATGCCACTGCACAGGTGGGCAGCAGACAGATCAAAATCAGCCAAATAATTGTTCAATTCATCTATGCACAACAGCTACACACTGGCTACGCACACACACAAACACCAAGGCACAGTAAGCACCAGCCACAGCCACTAGAGTCATCAGGGCTCAAACTTATTTCCTCCTAAGGCTCTTTCCAAAGGGAAAAATACAGTGTTAGAACAGAATTACAGCACCTTCAGAAAACCTACTGGTGTGCTTTCACTGGCACTGGGACTAGTGGGTTGCCTTAGTATTACCCAACCAGGCAGGGACTGAAAAAAAGAAACCTTCCTCGTTGCATTTCTTTCAGGGTCTAGAGTAAGCATTGCTGAGTAATTCCTTTTAAGGGGGACTCAGCAAAAATTATGTACTCATTTCAAACCAGAGAATTCAGTCAGAAGCATCACTGGTGCACCTTTCTTTAGTGTATAGTAAGTGGCTTATCTTCCCAGAGAAGAAAAAAATCAAGTTCAATTTTGGATTAATTAGTACTGCCTAGGTTGTCTCCTGAAGTTTTACTGCCATCTCCTGCTGTTGCCTCAAATAAGTCCCCAGAGGGCTGCAACCAGCAGATAGCAACCCTGGAGGGAGGATTTGTTCCATATGCTCTGTGGTGCTTATTCCTATACACAGATCACCTAAAGATTGATAAACCAGAAAGCAACTTTCTGGGATTCCATAAAATTATGTTCAGGTTACAATGTAAGTGTGCTGTATGTTGGTAAGACTCAGCAGATTAGCAAAAAAATCCAGACCCAGCCAAAAAAACTCAACTCCCAACAGTTAAAACCACTGTATCCCTGAGCAAAACACTAGTACACACCAGAGAATCCCTAAGTGCCAAAAGTTATTCAAACATAAGGGAGTGTTTGCTGGCATACTATGCTGAGAAATATTAAAATCTGTTCTGAAAACTACCCCAGTTACAAGTTACCTAGATATGTTATGTCAAAAATCAGTATGTTTCTCCCTTACATAACACAGTGTTAAAAGTTTAAAAAAAGAGACTCCTCCTGTAGCCATACAGCTGTTTGAATATGTTGGAAAAGATAGTTATAGTTAATATATCTATTTTTATTCATCCTAAAGAGAGTTTGAATCTAATTTAAATTGTTCAGTCTTGTGTGAAATGGAAGAGAAAGGTGTCTTGGGAATTGTCTTACATATGTTTGATTATTCATACTGTAAATGGCAACAGTGTGGAACTATAGTTGGAACTATTTTAACTGTGGTCTATAAAATGGATTTTTAAAGGTTTCTAAACTTTTTCATCTCCAATAAATTGTCTTTCATTTTTAATCCTGCTTTATTTCAAGTCTTTGCTCCTTAACTTGCTTTTTGATACATAAAAGAAACAGCTGCAGAAGTGATTGTGGCCAAGAAAGGGAATACACTGAATTGTATGTTTTCCTCAGAAAAACAAGAGAGGACAAATGATGAAAGAATAAAAGAGGGGAAAAAACAGGAAAGCCCAACTCCAAGGAAGTAGGAGGGCTGAAAAATTCACTGCATACAGACAAAGCAAAGTTTTTCCTCAACCAAAATAAATTTGTCCATCTCAAATGACAGTTAACATTTCTGTGATAAAAAACTGAGATTCACATTTTAAAACATGTAGTTTAGTACCAAATCCTGTAAAGGTATTTCCATCTTTCTTGTTGACAAAGCTCAAGAAACAATACACTCTTGTTATAAAATCTTCTATTTGATATATGAAGAATGAGACCTACCTAAGCTAGATGAGCAGAATTTGATAGTGATTTTAATTATTTACATGTAGGTGTAGAAACCTCTCTCATCTAACTTACAGCTACTCCATGACATCCCATACTGAACTTGAAGGGTGAGAGAAATCAGAAGACTCCACTTTTTCCTGCACAACTTCCCACAGTCTCTATCATCATTTTAACTGTGTAACAGAAAAGCAGAACTCAGCAGCTAGGAGTGTACATCTGTAAGCAAATTTGTAAGCTCACAACAAAGTCTTGTGGCAGAGTGTGAAATCCTAAAAATTGTCCAGATTCATTCTAATGGTATCCTAAATTGGGTACTGATGCAAGAGCAGAAATCTCATCAGTTGTGGTCCTACCTGATGAGAGATTCTAGAATGGCCGGGGTGGGACCCTTTTGAAATTCCAGCTCCTTGTAGTGAAGGGCCTTGGCATATGCTCGACATTTTGCAGCTCTTTCCCCCAGGAGGACAATGCCATTATCATCTCTCAAAGGCAGTGGACCCTGGGTAGAAGCACATACATCAAAAGCAGGATGAGTATAAAAAAAGAAGTATGCATGAACTCTTCATGCCCTTTCCATAGAGCAGACATCAGCCAGATAGCCAGCATTAGAAAAGAGTTGCCTAACAGCATCTCTACCTTGTCACTGTGTTCCATAAATTCCGCCAAGTTCAGGAGAGTCTGAGTGACTTCTGCAATGTCCTGAGAAGTCAGGGCTAATTCAATGCTTCGGATCAGCTCATCCTGCTGGTCTTCATTCAGTTCAGACCAGCATGAAACAAAAGCAGCATTGAAGAGATCTCTGAGGAGAAAAACAAAAGAGAGTGAGAGCTAGGGATTCATTATTCATAAGAAGTAGTTTATTTGACAGTGGACTTGCCTTCATGTTCAGAGAAAGAGAGCTACAGAATGCATTTATATGTTTACCTGCAATAAATATTAATTAGTTTTCATAAAGCTAACTTCTGCACCAAACAGTGAAACCTGCATTTTAAAAATATATGATGATATACTACAATAGTAGAAACTGTACAATCATATGCTAAGCAAGTATTTCAGGCTAGAACAAACTCTTCATAGCAGCAGGGGTGCTCTTCTCTTCTGCTATGAAGAATGAGGCCTAAGTCTGACTGAGATCACAAGCAAATGTAGTGAAAAAGATGATTGTACATTTTTCCGGACACACAAGCAGCTACACTTTTGTTTTCTGTGCTCACTAGGGGACTGCAATAGCTGGATTTTGTGTTAGTGGCAAAGCTTGAGAATGAGGAAAGGTGATGAAAAACAGATACAGCGACAGCCCTTGTCACCACTGGTACTGTAGTGAAATACTATGGGGTGGGTTTGAGATGCATGGAACATACATGGAGGACACCAGCATTACCTCTGCCTGCCTAGAAACTGCTGACTTTTTATCATGCTGTTTACCCTTCTATTTCAAAAATGATAAAACTCACATTAAGACAAAGTTAAACCTGGAATGAACACTTTTCAAAGAGCAGTAGTCAGATTCATATGCACTGAGGTGACCATTGTATATCACCAAGAAAGATAAACAGGCAACTGCTTATAGAAACTCCAAGTTTCTCCAGACATACTGGTTGCAAAAGAAATAAAGCACTGTGGCTTATTCCACTCAGAGGCATTTTTATTCACCCACAGTAGATCCTTGAAACTATTTCATGCCTTGCTGTTTTTCCAGCTTCACTTTTTTGTGCCTTATGTTATTTCTAGACTAACATGCAGAATTCCACTGAAAGATTTTGTGCACATCATGGAGCAGCCAACTGAGAAGGGTGGAAATGAAATCAAGTTGCTAGCTATTTGATTTGTCCCATAGAAGGAACTTTCTCTATTTATGGAATCTAAGAGCTTTTAAGTAACTTTCCCCTTATAATATCTGGCTTGCATCTGCAATGTCAACTGATCCGAAAAAGCCAGAATTACTCTACCGAGCCATAGGATTATATGCCTGAGCCAGGGCCCAGCATGAGCGCAGGGATGGTGAGGAGGAATCTTTCAGCAGCTCCAAACTCAGTCGTCTTAACCATTCCAACCAGTCATCTTTGGAAACTCTTCTTGCTGCTCCCCATGCCTGCGGTACAAAGCAAGACAATTCAACTGTCAAATGAAGCACTATCCAAAAGCAGAAGAAATCCATCAGCAGGCAGCATTACTTCTTTACAGCTCCAAATCACATTGTTGAGATTCCCTCCATAATTCCCTGAAATCCGTACCTTTACCAGATAATTTGCAGTATTTCAGTCTCATTTCTAAGAAATCTTCCCTAAATGTATTCCTCTCATGACATGCCAAGAATTTAACAAGAATAATTCTTCCCCTACAAAAATACACCAAGAGCTGAAGCCACTATTGAAACATCAGCTTAAAAATACTTAATGTATTTAGAACTTTATTTTTAGGCCAAGCATTTTCAAACCAACCCATTCCATTACTGAACTGAGTGCTACATGCATTTACTGTTCAAAGTAGCCAGCGCTTAGCTATTAAGTTCTACACTGGATTCAAGAGAATATGGCACTAAGATGTAAGAAGCGGCTGATAAAAAAAGGCAGAGACTCTGAAACAGATGTCTCTAGACTCTACAGATGATTCCTTGGGATCTAGGAAGTCTTGTGCATACTTCACATAAGAAGCAGCTGTCAGGATTACTTCACAGCCATTATTAGTCTGATAATTCAGCTTCTCCTGTCTTTAAAGATGCTTAGCACCTTCTAATTTTAGAGAGTCTCAGACACTATTTTGACCTCAGTTTTGTACAGAACTGAAAACAGAAAAGAGATGTAAATCAGTGTAGTTCAGATGTGCTGGACGAACTCCTTAGATGTGACACAGTAGCTCCTCTCTTCAGCAGCAAACCCATGCTGTGCAGTCTTACCTTTTGCAGGTTGATGGTGCTAACATGCAATTTCTTCATAGGACCTGTTTCCACAGGACCACTGGCCAAAGTTTCTCCCTGGTTGCTTCTCAACATTCGGTGCTGATAAATCAGGGGATCCTCTTCTTCATCAGCAAGAGTATAGCCCTACAATAAATAGCTTACAATGAAATCACACCCACACAAAAGCAATTTTCTACAAGCCAAATGGATGGTAAAATCAGAGCACTATCCAATCTCACAGCAAAATTTGTGAAACAAACCACCATCTTTCATTAAAATGATTACACCTTCTAAACCAGAGAACTTGAATAGAAAGGGGATATCATTCAAGATAACTGGTAAGAAACCTTAGCTCCTAGTATTAAAAGTCAAAATAATACACCTTCAACAAGCACTCTTTCCTACTTGACTGACTAGTAAGCCTTAAACTGCAGTGTGCTACTTGTTCCACACTAATCAAATCACAAAGCAGTTAGTGAGGTTTTGAAATGTGGGATGCTACAGAACATACTGAGATAACAAGGTCTCCTTAAGTCTTGAAACTGTGGAAAAAATAATGTAAATCTACATTTAAGAACTACTGAGAACTTACCTAGAACTTGCAGTGATTTTTCTACAGGAAATAACTGATACTGGCTGACAATAATTTTCCCAATGTAATCTCAAAGTCTCCTTAAAAAGCTGTACTTAACACACAAATAGAGCAACAACCACTCTCCATTTTAGGAACAACTCAAAGTGAAGTTCCCAGCCACACGTGTTTCAACATGAAAACATCCCCAAAGTGCCTTTATGCAAACAGCTGTATGCTTGTCCACTCACCTTTACAATTCTGCAGATAAGAACATCATAGCGCTGATGGTT